CTCAGCCTAGAGCAGTCAGAAACATCAGGTAGCTTCGTCAAGACCCGCCTCAATGCTTCAAGCGCCTGTCCTTTAGGCACCCTCTTTGCCATACACGTAACACCCTAAAGTCTTATGAGCCCTACAGCTCTAAGTACTACGCGTTTTGGGGTTAGGGTTTATGGTTTGGGGTTAAGGGGGCTCAAGGGGCTTAGGGTTTAGGTTTTAGGGTTTAGGGTTTAGGGTTTGGGGTTAAAGGGGGCTCAAGGCGCTTAGGGTTTAGGGCGCTCAATGGAGCTGGTTTAAGGCTTGAGGGTGATTCAACGATTTAGGGTTCAGGTGTCGAACATAGGGTTTAGGGTTTACTATCAGTTGCCTTACAGGCATGTATGCCGGAATTAGCACCCTGAACCCTATGACCTTAAGCTTAAGCCTCAAAAAACAGAGCGGCCCATGTCAGGTCTCTATAGTAGGGCATTCCTTGTAGTTTCTTGACTAAAGAATAGCCTAGGGTGTTTAGAATAGTGCTTTTAGGATTTAGGGTTGATGGTTTCAGGTGTACGGTTTAGGTGTCAGCCAACTACTAACAGTATCCCCTTTTACTTATAGGTCCCTACATAATTATACTATAATCGCCCCCAAAACCCTTTTCTAATCCCTTAAACCCTTAAACCCTAAACCCTAAACCCTAATCCCTCAGGTACGTCCAGGGATTGCCGCTGAGCGAGCTTCCCGAGGCAGTCTTTGGGCAATTCTTTGCGGCGTAAGCGGAGACCCTAAAACGCTACAAACCTTAGAAACTCTACAAACCCGACAAGCCCCAGGAACGCTACCCTACAAACCCTAAGAGCCCTCCACCCAAGCCGGTTTAGGGTTTAGGGTTTAGGGTTTAGGGTTTAGGGTTTAGGGTTTAGGGTTTAGGGTTTAGGGTTTAGGGTTTAGGGTTTAGGGTTATGGCTTTCGAAGTGGCCACTGCGTCGCTTCGGCCTGTTGTTTTGTTCATGCCGGGGCACGGCCCGAAGGTGATGCAACCCGCAGGCCTTAGGGTTTAGGGTTTAGGGTTTAGGGTTCAGATGCTGAAGGATTTGCTCGCCGACGTCAAGAAGTTCAAAACAAGTTCGAAGCTGTTCGAAGCTGCAAGATTCGGCTTGGGCTTCACTGCAAAGCACACAAGAGTCTTCTGCACCATGCCAAGGTGGACTATAGCATTGGTGCTTCAGGCGGTGGTGTTCATGTACTTGACATCGCGCATGCCGCAACATCCTAAACGTCTATCAGGAGCCCCGTGAGGGCCATTAGGGTTTAGGGGTTTAGGGGCTTAGGGTTTAAGGTATGTGGTAGTTGTCCAACCTACAAGAAGCCCCCCCCCCCCCCCCCTACGCAGTTCTAAGTAGAGCTATAGGACCCTAAACTGGGTTATAAGCATCCTCACTTAAGCTATAAGTCCCAAAGCAGGGGCGGTCATGCGCCAGTCTGTGCATTCCCTTTGGCTTGGTGGCGCTTTACTGTAACTTTAGATCCCTAGCTTTTTTGGGTTTCTTGGGCTTCTTAATGAGGCAGCCAAAAGTTTAACTTTTTACTACCCTTAGTGCAGCCAAGTTGGGTGATCTCCCTTGACATCCCGTGTGGCGAGGAAGCACATGAGTGGCATTTTGCTGTTCCTGGCTCTGCTGTCACAACGATGTACCAGGGACAAAGACTTAATCCAGTGTATTAACCCTAAACCCTAAACCCTAAACCCTAAACCCTGAACCCTAATCCCTAATCCCTAATCCCTAATCCCTAATCCCTAAACCCAGCCAGGCTTCCAGTCTGCCCTGCTTAAACAGGCTCTTGAACCCTAAACCCGAAACCCAGGCGTCCAGTCTGCCATGCTTAAGTAGGGTCTAATTACATAACAAAGGGTTTAGGGTTTAGGGTTTAGGGTTTAGGGTTTAGGGTTTAGGGTTAGGGTTTGGGTTTAGGGTTTAGGGTTTAAGGCGAGAGCTACAACACCCCAAGCCCTAATCCCTAAACCCGAAACCCTATCCCCCAAGCCCTAAACCCTAAACCCTAAACCCATACCCTAAACCCTCCACGCCAAACTCCAAAAGCCTAAACCTCACCTCCAAGCCCTACACCCCAGGCCCTAAGCCCTAAACCATTGAAAGAGCTGAGAGGCTTTCGGCCAGCACACGAACGCCGAGATCTCGTCCTCGTTGGCCGACACAGCCCGCGGGCCGAACTCGGGGTTTTTTGGGGTTTAGGGCTTTAGGGGTTTAGGGGTTTATGGGTTAAGGGTTTCGGGGTTTAGGGGTTTAGGGGACTAGGGGTTTAGGCGTTTAAGGTCTTAGGGTTTTGGGGTTTAGGGTCTGGGGCTTTAAGGGTTTCAGGATTTAGAAATTAAGGTCTAGGGTCTCAGGCTTTGGGGCTTTGGGGGGTTTAGGGTTCTAAGGGTTTTAGGGTTCAAGGGTTTAAGGTTCAGGGCGTAGGGTTTAGGACTGGGGGGTTCAGGGTTTAGGGGCGTACGATTTTGGAGACAGTTCACTGTAGGGCCACAGAAAATAGGAGAGATTCCGGGCATTGAGCCGCAACAAGACTTCCCCCAATTGCCAGCCCTAGAGGGTTCACGTTTCAGCGTTTTATGGCTTCTACAACCGAAAGCTTAAGCCCTATAGCCTATACCCTAAGCCCTAAACCCTAAACCCTAAACCCTAAACTCTAAACCCTAAACCCTAAACCCTAAACCCTAATCGCTCCCCAGCAGCCCAGGACATACTCATGCAGACCATGATCGAAGTGCGCGGCGGAGGCAGGAATTTGCGCGGCGAAGGCAGTAATTTGTTTTGGGATCGGGTTTAGGGTTAGGGTTTAGGGTTTAGGGTTTAGGGTTTAGGGTTTAGGGTTTAGGGTTTAGGGTTTAGGGTTTAGGGTTTGGGGTTTAGGGTTTAGGGTTTAGGGTTGAGGGATTAGCTAAGCCCCTAAGACCCCAAGCCCTAGGTCGGTCGCACAGCCTTCGTTCTTCTGAAGTCGATCTAAGTCCTGCGGAAGCCCTTGAACCCGAACCTCTGAGCCCCAAACGCCCTGGAACTTGCCGCTGTAAATGGCAGCCCAGTCTATACTTGGGCCCTAAAGCTACTATATGGGAACCCCTTTAAGGCCCAAGTATATACTTTATAGGTACGTGGACCCTTAGGGTAGGGTTCAGGGTGCGAATCTCTCAGGCTAAGAAGTGCACGCTTCCTCAGCCATTTGCTGTGGACAGCCAGAACGGTGTCTAGCCGTTAGTGCACAGTAGATGATGCTTGCAGTTCGATGGTGGTTCTTGCTGCTTTGTGGAGCCATCTGGGCCGGCGCCAGCAATCCCAGCGATTCCAGTTGCCGGAGAGACTTGGGAGCACGGTGGCTACCCGTTTGGCCCCCCCCTTTTGGGTTCGAGGTTCCCTTAGAAAGTAACCAACCCCCCACAAGGGTACAGTACCCTGAGCTACCAAGGAGATGAGTCAGATTCACAGGGGGAATGTGAACCCCACTCCCTTCTCCAGTCTCGGACGCACGACCGCCAGCTTCTTGCTGTAGGGAAATGCGAGGTTGGTGCTTCGGTGTCGTGCCCAAGCGGCAATCCTTGTGCAGGGAACCAGTGCTGCCCGGATGGCACCATCTGTCCTTCTGCACCCTCAGATTTTACGGGATGCCCCTGTGTCATAGTTGGGTAACATTTTACATTTTTAAGGGTACTTAAACCCAATAAGGAATAAACAATTAAATTTCTAATATTATCCCAACAATGAACAAGGCCCCATACCACAGAAGTCGCAAGACTGCGTGTCAAAGACCATGAACGGCGCGGCAAGGGAAGGCAACGTAACCGTGGCAGTTATGGATTCTGATTCGGCCGTCACGCTCGACTGCTCGGGGGACACATTCATTGACTGCTGGACCTTCTTCACTCAGCCTGACCCGACTCATGGAGACGTGGTCTATGTTGCTGAAACTACGGCCAAAAACCTGGGCTTCTTACTGGTTCAAGACCCAACTTTTCAACTTCTGGGCTTCTTCATAAGGTCGTTTGCTCTGAAAGTGTCAACATTTTATTTCCTTGGGTTCTCGGACAGTAAGGCCTGTATTACGTACAAGATGGGGTCGTGTACCTCAAGAGCCAGGTGGGCCAGAACCAGCCGGCGCTCAGTATTCGACTCCAGTCCCGAGCCGTCTACCAGGCGGGGCACATCTGGCTCATTGATCCTTCGCTGACCCAGAGGGTCCATGTACCTAGATAGTATATACTTGGGCCTTAAAGCTACTACATAGGAACCCCTTTAAGGCCCAAGTATATACTATAGAGGTACATGGATCCTTTAGCTGAGTGAGCCACACTCTACACCTTATTTGGGGATACTTTATATAGTCCCTTAGAGAACTGAAAGTGTGCACTTTTTCTAGGGGCATTATGAGCTCAGCGACTAAGAACCCTAAACCCTAAACCCTAGACCCTAATTCTCTGGGTAACTTATGAACGCAGCAACTAAGGATATCCAACACATGCCCACAGGCATGGGCACTTGGCCCGCTTGGTGGTCCTTCGGGCCTGATTGGCCCAACAACGGGGAGACTGAGTAGCCCAGTGGTACCCTTTACTTTTTTTTTAAATTTGGCTACGGGTGCCCACCAACCCAAAAAAGGGTGCCCGTATTATAATATGGTTACTGGGCTACCCAGGAGATTGATACCATTGAGACGGTGAATGTGGAGAGCGTGGTGCAATCGACCCTGCACACCAGCGAAGGATGCTTCATGTACATTGATGCTTGCTAGCCCAGCGCTACCCTTTTTGCCCTTGCTTCCTGAAAAAGTAACCACCCGCCCCAACCCCCCCCCCCCCCCCCCCCCCCCCCCCCCCAGCAAAAAAAACAAACTCTTGTCATAATATGGCTGCTCCAAACGGTAAAACCTACAAACCAAACGCTAAACCCTATAGACCCTAAAACCCTAAACCCTCAACCCTCAACCCTAAACCCTCAACCCTAAACCCTAAGCCAAGGATGGGATTAGCAGCACAGACTGCGTCTCCGGGGAGGGCCAAAGTGGCTGCGGCGTCAACGGGCCCTGGAACAGCGCTGGGCCAGCGTTCAACGACAACGGCGGTGGAGTGTATCTTGCTTAGACAGTTAGGGTTTAGGGTCTAGGGTCTAGGGTCTAGGGTCTAGGGTCTAGGGTCTAGGGTTTAGGGTTTAGGGTTTAGGGTTTAAGGTAACCTTCAACTTTGTTGGGTCCTCTTATCTTGTAGGAATAAGAGAGTTTAACCTTACTTGTTCTTTCGGTTCTTGGTGAGACGTAAGGTTTGCCACCCAGTGGACGAACGAGGCCATCTACATGTGGTTCTTTCCGCGTGGCCAGATCCCTGCGGACATAGACCAAGGGAACACCTACACATGGGGCCCGCCCTATGTGAAATTCCCCTTCACCAACTGTCCCTCGGACCAGGAGTAGGCCCCTGTTGCCTTTTTTGTTTTCATGGTTTAGGTTCCCGGGTAAGCCCCTTTTAAGCCAAAAAGCGCACGGCGTCTCAATCCTGGGTTGCCTCTTGGGTCTAGGACTGGGATGCTCCTCCCTTATACTAACAGTCCTTAATCGGGAATTATAGAGTACCCCGATTATCATCCCTCTAAGGATTGTCAGTATAAGGGGGGAACGTCCAAGTCTAGGTCCTTCTTGGCACTTCAATGATCAGCAGCTTGTGATCAACTTGGACTTCTGTGGTGATTGGGCAGGTTCGGTGTTCCCTGGAGGGAATCTCGGTAGCCAAAGTAGCTACCCCTTTTTGAAGGAGGGGGGCAGGGGGGGGGGGGGGGAAGTTTGTGCTTGCCTTATACAAAGGAGCCAACCCCAAAAAGGGTGCCCTTATTCTAGTATGGGTACCTAAACCCGAAGCCCGAAACCCTAAGCCCTAAACCCTAAGCCCTAAACCCTAAACCGAAGGAACGAAGCTTGCATCGAGTATGTGCAAAACCCAGCCAACATCGAGGCACTCTCCGACGCTTACTGGGCGATCAACTACGTGAAGGTCCTGTTTTGAGCTGATGCTGCGTGCCGATGTTGGCTTTGGGAGCAAGCTTCCCCGCCCCTATAAGTAGGTCAGTGTTAGGGATCCCTTTTTACTTTTTGGGTTATGGGCTTTCTTATATATGAACAACAAGGATCCTTTTTGCTTCCTAGGGGAACAGGGATTAAGATAAGTAGGTGTGCCTTCTAAGTGTGTGCTCGGTTTTTTGGGACGCCGCCCTCAGAAGTAGGAGTGGGCCCCCATGAAGTTCTGTCAACACCGAGTCAACACACTTGGCTATGAACTATGCCTCTGCGTACTACTCACCAGCGCACTTCCAGTTTGTGAGACGCAGAGGACCTGGCTGACGATGGGGATGCCATCTTGGTCTGCGACCTAAAAAACCGAAAACACCCGTAACAAAAAACCCTTAAACAAATCTTAAAAATCCTAAAAAGCCTGAAAGCCTAAACCCCAAACCCTAAACTCATCGTGTGCGGCACGAGGCAAGGGCCAGAAGTGTCCTGTGCGATGTAGATAATCCAGGTCGCCGAGCCTGGCAAAGGGCAAACATGGACTTTCGTTGGGCTTCTGCCAATTTCATGGTTAATCTACTATGAGGGAAAATCATTAATCGTACTCCCTTACGGTCCCTATATGAGCAAGGGTCAAAACTATGGTGATTGCAGTGTTAGGACATTTGCATGCTGAAGTGTCAAAAACCCCTGTACATCGACGGGGAACATTGAAAAGCACGCCCCTTAAAACCCTTGTAAAGCAACGGGGAACACTGAAAAGCGACCCCCCCCCCCCCTCTCCGCCATTGCGCGACCTCGCCCCGACCTCTAGAGTTTTGACAGTGGCGTCATAAAGATATACCATAAGAATCAGACCCCCCAAAACCCTATGCTTATTCGTAAGGCCCAGAAATTACCTTAAGCCCTAAACCCTAAACCCTAAAGCCTAAACCCTAAACCCTAAACCTAGACAAAAAAGCCCTGAAGCTGATCTTGACAAGCACAAGCCTGCCGCAGATTTCCAAGACAGAAAGCCCAGGGGCTTTGGGGTTTGGGTCCCCGCAACCCTAAACCCTAAACCCTAAACCCTCTTTTGGCCGGTGGAACAGGTGTTAGGGACTAGGGCTGTGGAGTGGGATTTGTCCTCTTCGCTTCATACCGAACCTTGAACTATTCCCCGCGAAACCCTCCACAAAAGGAAAAGAGAGGCCAACAATAAATCTAAGGCTTCATACAGAGGATACAACAAAGCAAGCAGCTACTCAGATGCAGAAACCCTAAACTATAGACTCAACCCTGGACCTAAACCCCCAACCCCCTAATATACGGGTCGGAATAATTACTATACTAGTATTTCTTTATGGTCCCTTTGTATACTATCAGAACCCCCCCCCAAAAAAAAACTCTTCTAACTATCAAGGCCCCTATATTACAATGCGCAATGCCCTAAAGTCTTTCCTTGCTGGTGCCAGGCGGCGGCTCCGCGGGAGGCGGGCTGAGGGTCTCACTGCGAGGGTTTAGGGTTTAGGGTTTAGGGTTTAGGGTTTAGGGTTTAGGGTTTAGGGTTTAGGGTTTAGGGAATATTACCTACAGTTTCGTCAGGGGGTTCTGAACACTTTGAAGGCGGTCTGCGGGTTTAGGGGTTTAGGTTCGACATATTTATCGGACGAAGTGCGCAAGAAGAAGAAAGAGGCAAGGCATTTATGATGGGCTTTCGATGCCCTTGACGCTGCCTGGGACTCTCCTTACCTCCAGCCTTTATGGGTTTTGCCTACTACTTATGAGGGGTACGAGTCTCCAAGGCGTCCCGAACCCGATATACTTGGGAACTCCCCTGAATTGAATTGACCAGTTGACTCCTGAACCCTAAACCCTTTACCCTAAATCCGAAGCCCTACCCCCCCCCCCCCCCCCCGCCACCCGGCCAAGGAATCGCCGATTCATAGACCCCTACTTGTCCCATAACAATAACTCTGATGCCTCAAAAGGTTTAGGGTTTAGAGTTTAGGGTTGAGGGCTAAGCCTCTCATGCCAACAACCCGGAAACCCCAATGGGCAGGAGACATCGGGGAGACCGTCTTCAGTACCTGCAACACACTTCTCGAGAAGCTTCCGGAGCCTCGGCCCTAAACCCCTTGCCTGCACCCTCAGCCCTAAAGCGTAAATCTAAATGCCTACACCCCGAACCCTAAACCTTGCGTACGCCATCGAACAGTTTCTTGAAGCTCTAAACTCTAAACCGGCTGGAAACCCCCCCAAACGCCCGGTGTTTAGGGTTTAGGGGTTTAAGGGCTTAGGAGGTTGCCCCGTGACCAACGCAAATACCCGCCCCTAATTCTAGACGCTAGAAAGCCCTGTACCCTTGAGTCCTAGATCGAACCAGGCCCTCAGGCTATCTAAATCCCTCGAGCTACAAACCCTTAATCCCTAAACCCAAAACCCCTAGACCCCGAATCAATCCCTGAAACCCTAAGCCCTGAACCCTAAACCCCTAATTCCCTAAACCCCTAAACCCCTAAACCCCTAAACCCCTAAACCCCTAAACCCTAAACTCTAAACCCTAAACCCTAAACCCTAAACTGGTGCAGGAGAACATCGACTGGGAGGAGGTTCGCGACCGCAACGAGGCCGACAACTCGCCACTGAAGGTTTGCCTGCTCCAGGACGCGCAGGGTCCTAAACCCTAAGCCCTCAAAACTGAAGCCCTAAACCCTAAACCCTAAACCCTAAGCCCTATACCCGAAAGCCTAGCCCTAAACCCTAAACCCAAGTGATAGGGTGGTTTAGGGCTTAGACCTGGAGGCGGTGGCAGAGGGTTTGAAGGGTTTTGGTCGTTGGTTTGGTTTATAAGCTATATTGGGTGAGGGTTTAGGGTTTAGGGTTTAGGGTTTAGGGTTTAAGCTATATTCCCTTTGTGGTGCTTTACTGTAACTTTAGATCCTTAGCTCTTTTGGGTGTATTGGGCTTTTTAATGAGGCAGCTAAAAGTGTGATTTTTTACTACCCTCCTAAGTGCAGCCAAGTTCCCCAGTTGCTTTTGGTAGTCCAGCAGGTATAAAAAACCTGTAAGTTTACTCCGTGAACCTTAAACCCTAAACCCTCATCCTAAAACCAACAAGACAGGTTCTGGTCAGGGTACTGGACACCTAAGATTCTTGCTCTTGCGCGTGCAAAATGTTGGCAGATGTTCGAGGCGGGGGTGGGGGGGGGGGGTTGTGGTTTGGACTATCACAAGTCGTTCAGTCTTGAGACTTTCACCACACTAGATACGGGTTCAGAGTGTAGGGTTTAGGGCTTGAGGTACCCCAGGCTGCGCACTACCTCGTAGTTCACGACTAGCTGGGCCGCTGGGGCAATGTGGTTTGGGGTTTGGGGTTGGGGTTGAGGGGTTTACCCCCAAAAGCCAACCCTAAACCCTAAACTTACCCTAACCCTGAACCCTGAACCCTAAACCCAGGCGCATGAGGCATGTTTGTTCCACCTCCCCAATCTCATTTGTGAGAATTATCAGAGGCATTGAAGGGCCAAGCTAGCGCAATGGACCTTTTACACTCCTCAGAACAGGGCTTTCATGGATTAGCCCCAAACCCTCAACCCTAAGCCCTAAAGTCTAAACTCAACCCTAAACCCTAAACCCCAAGCCCTACACCCTAGACCCTAAACCTTAAACCCAAACCCTCAACCCTGAGCCTTTTTTTCTAAATGCAACCCTCAGGGTCCATGTACTTTATTATTACGTACTTGGGCCCTAAAGTCCCTAAATAGGAGGTGCTTTAAGGCCCAAGTATTCCCTATTTAGGTACATGGACCCTTAGGGCAAGTGTCTGAAGGAGAGCGAGCGGTATAACATCCTCCTGAGTGCGGTGCGCAGCTCCATCAAAGTGCTGCAGAAGGGTATCCAAGGCCAGGAGGAGGGTTTAGGGTTTAGGGTTTAGGGTTCAGGGTTTAGGGTTTAGGGTTTAGGGTTTCAGGGTTTCAGGGTTTAGGGGTTTAGGGGTTTAGGGTTTAGTTTTTCTTGAGCCGGGTCTCAGGATCTCAGGTTCTAGCTTGCCGCCCAGTCGTACACTTCCCTGTTTTGAGGGTTAGGAATCTCTTGCTTCTTCTAAACCGTTAAACCCCTTTTAAGAACAAAGGGACCGTAACTGCAAGTAAGCTCAACAGATGGTAAGCTCGTTCACTACCCCCAGCCCCTATACAATTATTGGGGCCCTAAACCCTAAAGTCAGGGTGCCGTGTAAAGGGCCAATACTCAAACGCCATTCGCTTTAGGACTTTCTCAGTGGGATCCCCTATAGTCATGCGACGTTGATCGAAAAATCACGGATCCGCCTTGGGGTCTCTGTTTTCGTAGAACCTCTGTCGTTTAGGGCAACTCCCATATGCGGCCCACGGCAGCAGACACAAGGAGGGTGGGTTTAGGGTTTAGGGCTTAGAGTTTCGGGTTTAGGGTTTGGGGATTTCAGATTTTCCCAGAGGGCTTTCCTTCACCACCTTAGTCAGGGTGTCGCTGTTGGTTCATCCCTATACCCGCCCCGACCCGCCACCACCTGTGTGCACCTAAGCCCCAATCCCAACACCCTAACCCCTCCCCCTGCCCCCACCCGCAGCTTCGGGTTTAGGATTCAGGGTTTAGGATTTAGGGTTTAACCAAAGGCTCCAATGTAGTTCCATTTTGGGTCAGGTATAGGGGATTCTAGCATACTACCCCAAAAAGGTACTCCATAGGAGCCTTTGGGTAGGATCTAGGGTTTCGGGTTTAGGGTTTCGGATGTAGTTAGGGTGTATGGAAATCGCTCAGCCCCAGAACTCCAAGGGCTGGTGGTCATCAGCAAGGAGCAGGAAGCTGTCATGAACTCGCGCCTTGGCTACGCAGGGTCTCTCTTGTTTTCTCAGGGCAGGTTCGTTATTTCAAGCATTGCTTGGGATGTTCGCCCTTGTACTGGCCGTCCTTGAGAGGGATTCTAGTAGGGGGTACTATAACCCTTTTTGAGGACTGTTAGTATAAGGGGAACCATCCCACAGCATTGTGGTCTAGAGTTGATGTCGGTTTGTAGGGCGGGCTGAGTTGTTGGTCCGCAGCCTGGTCAACCTAAACCCTAAGCCCTAAGCCCTAAACCCTAAGCCCTAAGCCCTAAGCCCTAGGCCCTAGGCCCTAGACCCTAGGCCCTAGGCCCTAGGCCCTAGGCCCGAGGCCCTAGGCGCAAGGCGCTAGGCGCTAGGCCCTAGGCCTAGGCCCTAGGGCCTAGGCCTAGGGCCTAGGGCCGGCCCTGCCCTTATCGGGCTTTAGGCGCTAGGCCCCAGGCCCCAGGCCCTAGAGCCCTGGTCTTCCCTGCTGCGCATGAGAGGTTTGCATCCGTCGGCTGGGAATTTAGGGCTGTGGAGAGTTGCCTAAACACTAAAGTCTAAAGCCATCAGCCCTAAACCCCAAAGCCCTAAAACCCTAGGGCTTGGGGTTGTCCCCTAAGCCTAACCCCTAAACCCCAGTTTTAGCCCGAAATCTGTACGAACCCTAAACCCTTACGAACCTTTTGGACGGTGTAGCTCTCTTTGCTAGCATTCCCGAACCCAAGCTGTCCTGGAGCTTGAAGATCCTAAAAACTCCGTAAGCCCTAGGCCCTAAACCACTAAAACAAATCCAAACCCTAAGCGCATCTGGTGCGGCCCGAGTGAAGCCCTGGCTCCCGAAAGCGTAAACCGCATGAATATCGACTCCCTGGTTTCATGTGTTGGTTGCGGGACTTTCGTGTGTTCAAGGGTTAGAGTTTAGGGTTTAGTGGAACTCCTGTACTCATGGGTTAAGGTGTCTAGGATTTAACCCTGAACCCCTGAGCCCCTGAACCCCTGAGCCCATTAACCCGGGCTTCAAGTTTAGGGTTTAGGGTTGACCTGCGACTCTAGTTACCTACACTTTAGTAGTAACTACTGGTACCCTTTATATAATTAGTAGGTGGAACCCTAGAAACTGCAGGTAAAGAGAGTGTCAGGTGGGTTTGGGGACGGGAATCCCGCAAACGCCAAGGCTCTATCAAGGCAGCGTCCCTCTGTCCTGGCTGTTTGCGTATCCCAGTGCCATGGCGGCGGACTTAACGGCGGACTTAAATCCCTAACCCAAAGGATCCATGTACCTATATAGTATATACTTGGGCCTTAAAGCTACTATATACCCCTTTAAGGCCCAAGTACATACTATATAGGTACATGGATCCTTTGGGTAAGCCCCAAACCCTGAACCCTTAACCCCATCCTCGGGCTGAGGGAATCCGAACCTTCGCTCCTAAACCCCTGAGACTTTCAGGCCCAAGTCGGATACCTATAGACCCCAAAGGATCCATGTTACCTATATAGTATATACTCGGGGGCCTTAAAGGGGTTCCATAGTAGCTTTAAGGCCCAAGTATATACTATATAGGTAACATGGATCCGGAAGGAACCCTAACATCCGAATCCGCAGCCACCTGGAGCCCCATTTTGTTGAAATTTTTCTGAAGCCCTAAGCTCAGGTTTAGGGTTTAGGGTTTAGGGTTTACCTAGCGAACCCAAAACCCTAAAAAAAGTAGGGTTGAAATCAAGAACCCGTCTTTAGGGATGATGGACCAGCAAACCCCGGGTTCAGCTATCAAACCCCGTGTTTAGGCCAGTAAGCTATGGAGGGTAAGATGTTCAGTCCTATGAGGCCACACCTTCGAAGATTCTGAGGAACTCGCTGCTCAGGCATGGCTCCATTGGTGCAGTGGAGGCACAAACCATGAAGACATTGTAGCAAATAGAAAGTGAAGGATGCAGTTCGCCGAGCATGCATCGATCCAAACATCCCTATATACTGTAAGTAGAGTTCACAGGAGCATGTTCTGTTGCATCGTACAGCACGAAATGGCCAATCAGTTAGCTGATGGCACCGGTCACTTTTTGCCGAGAGCTCAGACACTCGTAGGTTCGGCAGCTCGGAAGGAAGTGCCTCGCAAGGATGCCAGCAATGCTTGCTTGCATATTTGCAGGCATTTTAGTTCAGTCTCATCGGGGCTTGTAAAGTTTGGGCGCCATGGCGCCAAAGAATCGGAAGGGGAACACGGCTACGTGGAAGGGTGAAAGCCAGGAAGCGGGATGTGACATCAGGGGTATCAATGAGGCGTGGGATTGCGACGCAGAGCTTCGAGGGCGTCTGCGCAAAGGCGGACCTCTGATGCACGAGCAGTCAGGGCTGGTTTGCGACAACCATGTCTGCACACTGAATAAGTCGCTGTTGCTGCCATTGCTTTGCAAAATGGGTACCTGTGACAGAAAGCTGCCTTCGGTTGCAGACCTCCGAAGTGAAATGCACATCTTGTTCACTGAGAGCAAGCGTACGGGGCCGGATGTGCAACAGAGCATCACTGGTGACTCCGTGCATGTTCGCAAACTTCTTTCCCACGTCAAAGCTAAATGCCGACGCGAAGAAGTAAGCATCGAGCCATGACTTGGATCAGTTACATTTTTTTCGAAGCTCAGTTTGCTGGTTGCTTCCACTTTGTAATCCGTGTCGAGCACGCAAGTGTGTCAACCGTGCAAACTCAGGACCCGGATTTCCAAGAACTCTGTCTAGCTTTGGACCCGCTGCTTCAGGCCGGATCTTGATTGGATGAGGTCTTTTGTTTTGGGGAGCCCCTTGCAAATCACAGCCAACCCTACAAAAAACAAATCGACCTGCCCCTGTATCGTATCTGTACCCATGTGTCATTCGTGCAGGAAGTGGTCAACGCAGTGAACGCCCGGGTCTTGCTGAAGTCTGGGAAAGAGGTGGGGGTTGAATGAGCCTGTGTAGAAATAGCCCGCAAAAGCATGAATCCTGTAAGCGCCCCGAGCACACAACCCGCCTGCGCGAGGCTTCCGACGAGGAGGACGACGCAGAGGATGAGTATGACGAGGAGTCGGAGAAAGAAGCGCCTCCCCCAACCAGCAACTCAGACACAAGCCTCCCTGCTGTTGCTGCTGCAGCTGAAGCCCCAGCCACGAGCCCTACCACTGCTGTTCCTGCAGCCCCAGCCACGAACCCTACCGCTGCTGCTACTGCAGCTGAAGCCCCAGCCACGACGAGCCCTACTGCTACTGCAGGAGGCCCAACCACGAGCCCCTCTGCTGCTGCTGCTACAGCTACCAGCCCCTCTGCTGTAGGAGCCCTTATCGCCACTAGCTCTGCTGATGCCACAGCAGCCCCAGCCAGGAGCCCCTCTACTGCTGAACTCTGTGCAGTTACCCCGGAAACTCTCGCTGTGCCCGCGACTCCTTCTGAGAAGTTCCAGGCACCCTCTGAAGCCCCAACAACGCCACCTCAGACCCCCTCTCTTGCGCGTGGAAGCTCTACATCTTCTTTGTCCGAGGAGGCTCTTACGGTGTTTACAAGTTGATACAGGGTGTTCTGCGTGAAGGGTATGTCTCAGCCCATTTTAGCCTAAAAGCAAAAGCCCCAAAACCCCAAACCAAACCAGCTCAGCCCTGTTGACAAGGCGCCTTCCTCTGCGGCTCCCAAGAAGCTGACCTTCACGCCATCACCCCATGAGTCTACCGGTGTCCGGGTTGAGTTTAGCAATTCATACTGCTTACGTAAAAGGTTTTTGACTTTTGTGTTGACCTGGTTTGGTAGATATCACTCTGAAGGCTTCAAGTCAGGGAGGTAAAATGCGCAGCACCTAAGGTCGCAGGCGGCTTACTGACCAGGAGCGGGCCGAGATCAAAGCAAGGGTCGAGGCTTTGAGGAACCAGATCAAATCGACATTTGGCAGGATTTGGATGGGAGACCTGAGTTTCTTAGTTAAGTTCAGGATGTTGTTCAATTCTTGGGTTTGCAATTCCCAGGAAGAGTGCTCCGATGCCTGCGTCGGCCGTGCACGAGACCAGTGGCTCCGATGGCCAAGCTTCAGGACCCCCGTATGCTCAGCTAATTTGTTATACCTATGAAAGCGATAAGCCACACGAGCAAAGTATGGGAAACGGAGAGAGATGGAGCGAAAGAGAGAGGCAAGCCCCACACAGTCAGCAAAAATGAAACAATGGGAGACAAAGAGAGAGAGATATAAATAAAATCTACATATATTATATGTATATATGGAGATCGATAGAGCGAAACAGAAAAAGAAAGAGATGGAGGGACGGAGACAAAGATGCGGAAGACGAAAGAAGAAGAAAGGAAAGAGAGAGAGGGAGAGAGAGGGAGAGAGAGAGAGAGGGAAGGAGACAGAAAAAAAGAAGTAAGGAAAATAAGAGAAAGATCAAAGGGAGGGATGGAGGGAGGGAGGGAAAGTGAGAGGAAGGGAGGGAGGGAGAGAGAGAGAGAGAGAGCTGAAACGCAGGACCCTCCCCACCAGCATCCTTCAGCACAGCGGGGCTTTCGGATGATACACAGCCCTGGGACATCATGAGTGTTGAGGTGCCAAGTGAGTCGAGCGTCCTCCACATGCAGCCTGTCCCACCTGGGACAGAACCGGCAGCAGCCGCGCCCGAGCCAACAGCCGAGACATCCGCCGATCCTGGCGAATTCACTGAAAGCAACGAAGAGGCCCAGACTTGCTGGAAGCTCCATATAAAGGATATCTTGCCTATTTAGTTCTTTCGGTTCCACTATATTAGTCGGTTACTTTACTTGACTTCTTAGGTGGATGTGCCGGTGCTTTCTAGAAGGGACCAGTTTTGCTTGAAGAAGAACACGAAGGGCAAGAAGAAGCGGGGCCCCAAGGCCAACAGAGGCAAGGGTAAGGGTGCTACGGCAACACTCAAGAAGGCCAAGTCGATGTCACCATCCAAGCGCAAGCGCGTCATGATGAAAGTGTGGCCCGTGGCCACTTTGAAGGTGAGGCCTTCGGCTACCGTGGATTCCTTGGACCATGGGCCAGGCGGCGAGTCAGAGGAGGAGCCTGCAAAGGGCAAGCGTGGCAAGACCGCTGCCGCAGCCAAGCCTTCAAAGGCCTTGCCTTCGCCCAAGGCGAAGGCGAAGGCAAAGGGGAAGGCGAAGGCAAAGAGCATGCCGGCAAAGACAGCTGCCAAGCCCAAAGCCAAGTCGACTGCGAAAAAGGCTTCGCCAAAGAAGTCTGAGTCTCCTGAAGCCTCAAAGTCTGGTGACAAGCGCAAGGCCTACCCGAACCTCACACCGTCTGAGATTTTGCGGTGGTACTTTGAGGCAGGGAACGAGAAGGAGGTGGTGGCTGTCGTCGCAGACTTTGCCACCGGCTGGCAGGACGGCGAGTGCAATGCGAAGTTCAAGGCGGACTTGAAGGCATCGCTGCCTGAGCTTTGGCAGGTCGGTCTGACAATGTACTGGACAAGGGCAGGCGCAGGCACGCTGCACAAGGCTAGCGGCAAGGAGCTCGGGAACTTTGCCTCTGGGGGAGCACGGCGCGAGCTTAGTTGGGCAACCAAAATGTCTGCAGCGGCAAAGGTCGCTAGTATGTTTGGCTTCATGGTGGATTCCTTGGTCTACGAAGGCTACATGAGTGAGGACGACTTGCCAGGCTCTGATCTGATTGAAGAAATGAAAAATATCTTTAAGAACATTTTGTGTGATGCGCTGTCTGAGATGGCCGTGTAGAAGAGGAAGCTTCGAGACATCTCTTTTCCGGGCTAGAAAGCCGCTCGGCTTTTGCGCGTTTAGATGATCGATGGGAATGCAAGTGCGTCTTGCACGTGGGAGATCGATCTGGTACATGCAAAGCTGTCGTGTGGCTCCCTCGGATTCACGATGTCAGTTTCTCTTAGGGGACTTAGTTCGCTGCCCGACCGTTCTAAAGCGATGCTTTAAATCGTACATGATCTTTGTTCCCCAGCCTACCTAAGTATTGTATGTGTAGCGACGCATGTAGAGACCCTCCCAGCAACAGTACTCATCACAAGTTCTGCAAAGGAGCGGGTTGTGCAGCAGAGCTTCAGAGTCCTTCAAAAGGTCAATCTTGCGCGGGCCCTGAGTACATCTTTTGTACTTAATTACCTGGTAGAAACTGTATCATCCTTACAAGACGCATTACCTTTGGGGGCTAGCCTTATCATCGCCGGGCCCTGTGCCCATACTCATTTTGTGCTCAGCGAGCCTCGTCGCTGTCTGAGATGTTCATCTGTGTGGATTGCTGCGGCGAAAAAGCCTTGGACGGGAGCGAAAGTATATTTGATGATTTGCTTCTGCACTTACAGACTGTGATTGTAGAAGCAGCAGCACCATTCGAGCCCAACAGGCCCACCCCGCACCCTGTACACTGTCTCATCTATGTGCGTGCCCAGGTCCAGACATCGATGCCTCTCCTCCCAGCCGGCACGCTGTGGAAGCTCCGCCTCGCACAGTCGAAGCAGCAGGGTACTGCCGGCTCGTTCTTTCGGCCTCGAAGCCCCCTAAACCCTTTCTAAACCCTATACAAACCTTTTTTTTCTTTACATATTCCTTTTTACACTATTCTAAACCCTGTACACAAACCCTATAACCGCTCGATCTTTTCAAGGTTGCGCTGAACGGGGAGGAATTGAGGGAGAGCAAAACTTTTCATCAATCAAGCAGGGCGAACAAACAGTTCAGCGATACGCAGTCGCACACTACGTACAATGCATCTTGGGGCTGAAAGTCTCACGTTCGTCAAACCTGGTAAAACCGCGGCCTCTGCGTAGCCGCGCGATACGATGATGGATGTCGATCTCCTCTGTTGGCGGCTGAAGCAGCTCAAAGCTCCCAAGGACGACGGTGGTTCTAACGAAGCCCCCTTGCAGTCCCAGTGTCCCACGGAACATTTCTATCTGTAAATATTAGTGCGCCCGGTACCCAACCATCGCAGGACTTCATCCTGATAGTTTTGGTCTTGATCTGGTCTGTAGACACAGCAAAGCTGCAGCAGGCTGGGTGAGTGTATCCAGACTCGAGAGTCATGTTCGTGCAGGGTCTCTCGTTGTGAGGACTATGAGTTCATAGAGTTCTTTGCTGGACAGGGCAGGCTTTACCGTTGTATGAGGGCTGCTGGTGGGTACAAATCAATTCGCTTTGACATCATGGATGCCGAGAAGGGTAATCGTTGTTCGAATTACATGGACATTACGTCTACCAGTGGCTTCGCGCACCTTGTGTTGCATTCCAGGCAGTAGTATATAGGGCTGTCGTTGCGTGAGGAACCCAATGTGTTTCTTTGAAGTCCAGATTTTGTAGACCGCAGAATTGAGTAGCAACTAAGTGTTGCCCTGCTCGCCATCTTAAAGCTGAACTGTGGGCGTGGCTACGTGCATTTCGGAATGAAATGCTCTTCCCTATCATCTATGAACAGAGCAACGAGTGGCCGCACGCCATGCTGCCCAACTGGCAACGCAGCGTACCCGAGCGTTGCAAGTGCAAACGTTATCATCGAACGGACCGGCTTTCTACTGTCGCACACCGGGTTGATCTGAAACTTCTTGAAATGTTTTTCTTACCCACCCACACCCCTGAAGGACAATACTTTGCGCTCTGTTGGTCACAGCGATGGACTGCACGTGGACCCTCGAGCAGCCGGGGAACTCCACCCTGGAATTTTATCCTGCTTGGAGACATATGCTAATCAGCCTCTGGAGCGCTGGTGGACCTTACTCTGCCCCAAACTCAATCACAAGTCCCATCAGTATATCTTGGGTTCCCTTCTTATCAACCATGAAGCTGTCGACTCAGCTAAGGTGACGAAGGTCAGCTTTTGGATGGCCCACTTCATGTCCAGAACTCCTAAGCGTCACTACGTCTTTTCGAACTCCTCACGAGTCAGGGTTCTCAACCAAGGGAAACTTGCGCTGTCTAAGTACAAGTGCAGAGTTAAAACCACCCATCGTTACGTTGACGCCAACGGCAAACCATGTTGGACGGGCAATCGCAACCTGCGAAAAACGGAGCATCTCATCCCCAATAAGCAGAGATGTCTTTGTGTATTAAGCCCTAAGCAAGCTAGTAAAGAGTCCCCAAAAAACTTCCCCAAGTACAAATACATGCTGGAATCATGATCCTTTGCAGCCTTAAGTTCTGTCTTCGATCCTTGTTCCCTCAATCCCAAGTAGAAAGCTAGCTTCCTCGACCATCAAGGAAACCACAGACAACACCAAACATGCTATATAAATGCTGCCCAGCTTCCTGCTCATCCCAGGCAGTACCCAGTCGCCTTTGCCAAGTACATGGTGCACATCTGCGAAGTCCTCAAGAAGCGCCGGCGCGGCTGTCCCAAGGCAGGTTGTGAGGTCCCCTCGGGCCTTGAAACGGTTGCAAGTCTTTCCAGCCATGACAGTGAAGAGTTTGCTGCTGCTGCTTTACCAGAAGTGTACAACTATGTTAGAGGGGGCAGCAGCCTCCGTATCCCAGATGTTTGGCGGGGTCTTTTGCCGGATGGCTTCCTGTAGTGGCTCTCTGAATGGCATATAGGGTTGGGTTCCTAGACATACCAGGACGTGACAATCGCACCATCTAAGTATTATATATACAGAGAGGCTGTTAATGTTTTGTTATTTTAACGTATTATTTTCTATTGCCATAATTTTGGTCCGGTTGCCCCGTCCTGGTAGTTTGGTTTGGGGGAAACTATGGAAGGCTTCTGTAGGGAACGGCGCGGGTTTGTGCGGGTTTGTGCGGGTTTTTATGGTTTTGCTTCAAGGTTTTAAGGTTTTTTTGTGGAAATTTCGGGTTGGGAAGCCGTCTGGGGCCTAGAAGCACGTGAAACCCCGGGTTTACCCATGACAAACCCGTGATTTCCCCACCAAAACCCCGGGTTTAGACACCGAAACCTCGGGTTTAGGCAAAACCCCGGGTTTAACCCCAGAACCCCTGAACCCGTGACAAACCCATGGCAGACCCATGATTTACCCGTGACGCCGTCATGGGTAAACCCCGGGTTTAGGGTCGATTTCCTGAGACCAAAAATGCCCCGTCTTTGCTACCCCGCACAAGGTTCGAATGGGCCTGGCTGCGGGAATTTGTTGAAATTCGGATGTCTGTGGGAAGTAGCCATAGCTCTGGATGCAGGGTCTGAGATGTCCTATTGGGCGTTGGAACAAAGTCGAACACTTGGACTTGCCCAATGTGTTCAAGCTGCCTCTCTGCATGGATCCCCAGGAAGCAACGCTCCCAGAAGCACAGGGGCTCTTCTCACCCGCCTTGTCTTGGCTTTCTGCAGAACAGTTCTCCGTACATGTGTAGTACTGGGGTTGCTATGGCCCTGCCTAGCAAAATTTCAAAGCTATGGAGCTGTGCAACCTTACACTTGGGTCTCGACAGTGTCCTGGAAAGATCAGCCACTATGGATGATGCGCAGGCTCTTCGCGAAATTGAGGAGAATTGGGGCGGGGGTTAGGTGTTTAGATGCTCTCGGCCTGAATTGAGCACGTTCTGCCAATAGAACCCCACGCGAAACCCCACAGCCCCAAAACCCCAACACCCTTCAAACCCCAAAAGCGGGATGTTCCCCCTTATGCTAACAGTCCTTACGTGGGTTACTAGTAATAATAATAATAGGGGTACTTTTATGCCTATAAAATATAAATAAATACATATATATATATATAAAGTCCCTAGTATAAAAGGGGAACATTCCAACCCCAAAGCCTTAAACCCTATAGAGCCTTAAAACCCTAAAACCTTAGAACTCCAAAACCCCAATTCAGACCAGCAAAACCCCAAAACCTTAAGACCCTAAAGCCCCTATAAACCTTAGTCGTTGCTCCGCTTTTGAGGAGCTGGAGAAACTTTTGCAGGATGACGAGGCCTGGGCCCCACTTTTCCCAACCTAATGTAGAAGCCTGGGGTGTAGACTCTGTGGCGTTGCGCTATTACTTTCAAGGCCGAAGCCATGATTCCTTCTGCTGAACTACTTTGTCTACGTGAAATGGAGACTGTTCCTGCTCTACCCTCAGGAACAATCTCCTGGTGCAAAATATCAGCTGCTCTCTCTCTGGCTGTGCTGTCCTTTGGGTTTCTGATTGAGGCTTCGTTCCAGGAACTACGTGAGGCTGGAATCGGTACAAAGGCTGCGAGCGAACCACCGGCCCCAATGCCGGAAGCTGTGTGTGAAACCGATGCCTACACACTGCTTGATGTTCCCTGGCCACAAAACACACATGTTGTCGCGAAACCGCGAAACCGCGAAACTGCAACCCTGCAATATTCAGTCCCCGCTGCAGGCTGATTCCACCGATGAAGAGGAGCTGGACAAAGCTTCCTAAGTGCATTTACAGATTTCCAGCAAGATGCAAGATTTTGGGAAGCTTGGTTGTCGTTGCTTATCTTAGGCTTCCGCTGCAGACATGTTGGCACTTCTGACTGGGGTTTTCGGAGTGGAAGAGCCAGATGTTACTGCAGCCACCCCGCCACCACGAACACGCGAAGTCAAAGAAGAAACCGATGATAATGCCACTGAGAAGAAGCCGGCGACGAGACAAGCCCCTCAACATGAATCCCTTTGTGCTATGTGATGTATCGGTCGGTCAATTTTCGCGCACTTCGTGTGCTGTGTCTCATCATGCCTTCTGCGAGGATAAGTTGCTCCGTGCTGCGAAAGCACGCATTGATCGTATGGTCAAGCCACACGCAAAGCGGAGAAGCCTCGATGTGCCAGAGTGGATGAAGGAGGAATGGAAGAAGGGCGACAAGGGCGCGATTGCGAAAACATTGCGGGATGTAAACTTCGACCGTGTTTCTGGGCCGTGATAGCACCAACGCAACAGAGCAACCAGCTCAACACAAGCCCAACCAACAACTTAGGAGAAGTTCCTTGTCAAGATGGAGGTCTCGGTGAAACTGAGCAACAAGCGTGAGATCATCATCGACGAGGGCTGGTACACCCACGAAGAAATGATGTCTGACTTGGGGTGGACCAAGTTACTTAGCGCACATATATAGCTTTGTCAGCGCAATACGCTACCTTAAGAGTGCGAAGCCCCACCCTGCCCAGCCCGTCTCCACCCCTGATAATTTCAGGACGCGAGCCGACAAAGCTGTTGCCCAATGCCGACTGCTGGGGCCCGACTACTGCAGGCAACCCCACAGCACTTTGCTCTCTCTCCTCTCTCTGTCGCTCTCTCTCTCTCTCTCTCTTTCTCTGTCTCTGTCTCTGTCTCTCTCTCTCTCTCTCTCTCTCTCTCTCTCTCTCTCTTTCTCTCTCTGTCCCTGTCTCTGTCTCTCTCTTTGTCTCGGTCTCTGTCTCTGTCTCTGTCTCTTTCTCTTTCTCTTTCTCTTTCTCTTTCTCTTTCTCTTTCTCTTTCTCTTTCTCTTTCTCTTTCTCTTTCTCTTTCTCTGTCTCTCTCTCTCTCTCTCTCGCACTCGCTGTCGCTCTCGCTCTGTGGCCCTGTTGCTCCTGTCCCTTATAATCCTTATTGTTTTATCTCATTCTCTTTATTGCCTGTTTATCTTCTGTCTCTTTCTTCCTTATCTTTCTCGCGAGGAAGAACGAGTACGATGGCTTGGAAGAGTTTTGGGTCAAGATTCGAGAGCATGGAAAGCGGAAGCAAGCCCTAACCTATGAGGAGAACCACAAGAAAGCTTGCCAGGCCCTGCGTCCCGAAACGCCAAGCGTTCATACCAAGCATCCTCAAGCATCCTCCCATCCTCAACGACGCCAGGACCGTGAGGAGCTCCCAGATGTGGCCGGCCTCGACAAGTTCGACAAGCTAGAGGTGCTGCAGAAGCGAGGGTGCCAGGCACAGGACGCAAACAAACAGGAGGACCCGAAAATGCACATGCATCGCCAGGCCAGCGCACACGCAGTCAGTACTGCCCTGTGACTCTGTTTGGCATAGCTCACTAAGTTTCTTATGACTTTCAAACGCTTGTAGACCCTCGCCGCCCTCGAGAAGTACACCGATGCTGTTATGGCGCAGATAGGAAAGCTCCGGAATTTGGCAAAGGATATTCACAAGAATTATGTCAATTCGGAGGAGACAAAGAAGTTTCCTGGCCCCATGCAACGGTTGAAACCTGCACTTCTGCAAAACCTCAGTAACGAACACCGTGAAGCCCAGGGCTGCTGCGGCCATCGATACCCAGATCTCGAAAGTCGAGGCGATCTACGATTCCTGTATGGAACTCAAGGCGAATGCCGAAATGATGAAAATGGACGAAAAGCCACTTGCCTGTGTTTGTACCTGAGGTAGATTCAGGTAACACCAGTTCTTTTCTGTAGAAAGGGGTGTGTTTGCGCGCGCACAAGGTTTCACAATGATGCGGGGAAGAAAATGAAGGACGGAACCCTCGTGCCCCCAAGCCTGTACTATTCAGAAAGCTTTGAATCGCTTTCAAGGAAAGTTTGTTTAGATAGATACACGAACTCTCCCTTGAAACCCCTTCCTGTTCAAAGGTGCAGTCGCGCCGCCGCGTTGGAGAACAAGCTGAAGACGCCAGCTGCAGTGGTGTCGAGTCCTTGGGTTTGGGGTATATCTAGGGTTTATATAGGGTTATAGGGTTCGGGATTATAAGGGTTTATAAGGGTTAGGGTTTATATATAGGGTTTAGGAGACGCACGGGTTACTGATTCTGGGCTGTCGGGATGGGTTTGTCGACTTGGTTCTATGTAGTGAGTTGGCCCAGGACTGCAAAGAAATGCTGGGAAAAGGTTACGCCGTCATCGCAGCCCTCCCTGAAGCCTAAGCCAAAGGCCTCCCCGAAGCCTGCTGATGCCGCCCCAGCAAAGCCCAAGAAGAAGTGCAAGAAGTAGGGTTCTGTAAATATGGGGCTGGGGACACGCGGGAAAACCCGTGCTTTTATTCGTGGTACATGGCCACGAATGCGCAGTACGACGGGCTGTGGGGATCTGCTGAAACAACTCGCCTGCCTTGCAAGTGGCCTCCTGATGCTGCAGCACGGGTCACACAAAGCTGAGTGCAAACCTGCTCTACATTCTTGAAGCCAGGTTCTTCCGCTGGCCACACCATACGCGGGCTCAGCAGCGACATTGGCGATGGCGCCGTGTACTCAGAAAACGTTGCTGCGAGTACTTCAGTCCGGCTTGCTCTTCTGACTGTTTGCACGTGTAGCTTTTTGATCGGGTGTGTGTGATGTCTTTGTTTGCTGGCAATGGAAATGGGCACCGCAAGCACAGACGATGAGTTGTGGGATCTTCTTACCTGTCATCGCCACGATAGCCAGCTGAGGTGTTTAGGGTTTGCAAATGTCTTTCTTTTAAGAACTATTTTTGTGCTTCATGCTGCTAAGACCCTTTGATCCTGTCCCCGCAAACCTAGGAGAGTATTGCCCCGTATCCTTGGAAGAAAAGATCACCTGAAACAAAGCGCAACCAGCCCAAGCCCGTCATCAAGGTGGATAAAAACCTTGGCACAGATTAAGTCCCCGGCAGCAGACCCCAGCATCAAGAGCATTCGCCGTAGTGATGTCTTGAGAAAAAGAAAACTTGGCACGTCGTTTGGGCGGCTCGGCGAGCCTATATACTTGAGATTCACAGGGCATGCCACTGCAGGAAAACCGACAACCCAACCGACCTGTCTTGTCTCGGCACTCTTGTCGTTTTGCATCACATAAAGAAAAACTCTTCCGACATTTTGGGATCATATGAGAGCATTGCCGGGCCTGGGGATATATAGAGACGATGTTCGTCCATTTGTCTAGATCTCGCTGGTAACGGTAGACATCATTGCACCACCTCTGTGCGCGTGATCCTGATTTTAAAAATGAGCGGCTCCCATTTTCGGAAAAGTGGTGGTGACACGAGCTGCGACGACCGTTTCATGACGTACATTGTGTACAGATCCTTCAAGCATCCGACCAGGGAGGCGCAGAAATTCCTTGAGCTCCATTCGAAAAACTTTGACAAGTGAGAACTCGGGGGTACACGAGCAAACAAAGTTTGTGCGCAACCACAGTTTGCAAGCCAAAGTGTGTGTTCTCATTCAGTAAAAAGCATCACACGTATGTATGTTTCTTTTCCCTCTTTCCGAGGCCTCCTGCCGTGCAGCCATCCGGACTGCTCGCAACATTGTGAAGGACGTGGGCGTGGAGCAGGCACGAAACGTAGGTGGCCTGCTTGGTTTGGCTCGTTGCTCTCAGAGTCATTCCGAGAGGGATACCCGGGGGCTATTGTCGCAGAAGCTGGGGCTGGCGTTACCCATTCCTTTGCGTGCTGTTCCTGATTCGGTGGATCCGAGCGTGCACGAAAAAAATAGACTTCGGATGCTGACCATGAAAGACTGGGCCAGCTTCTTTCTTCGGACAAACAATTGGCACGTATTGTGCGGGCTCCGGTCCCCGAATCCTGAACGGGAGCAAGCGATTTGGAAGTCGTGGTGGCAAAAGTACGAGCAAATTGATCCGGGTCATCCTATATTTGCAATGGCCCAGCGAGGCGAGGTCGCTTTAAGCAAAACGGCGGCCGTCGTCGTACACGGCGACGAGGGGAGAGGGAGGCGCCGGCAGGCGTTTTTCGTCCTGTCGTTCCACTCGGTTCTTGGCCGCGGCACAGTTGCTTCACTGGAGAAATCTAAGAAGCCCAATGCAAGACGAGTTAGGAAGCCTTATCTTAAAATGGGCTTGAACTTCAAAGGACATTCCTACACAACGCGTTTTGTTCTGGGTGTTCTTCCTCGCCACCTTTACGCTGACAAAGATCGAAACTTCACTTCGCTTTTGCGTGCTGTATATCACGATGCAGCCTCGATGGCGACAACCGGTGTGGTCGATCGTAAGGGATGCCGTCACTGGCTATGCGCTGTTCGCACCATCGGCGACTGGCCATTTCTACATAAAGCTGGCAATTTGGACAGGACGTATGCAAACACAGTGAAATCTGTGAACCAAGCTTCTTCAGGGATTTGTCATCTCTGTTGTGCTGGAGAGCCAAACATTCCGTTTGAGCAGATCGCGACAAGAAGACCGGACTGGTTGGATAGGCCTTGCACCACTTCACCATTCAAGGATGGGATTCTTCCTGAGGCTGCTTGTCTTCCTCATGCCCCAGGCCGTTTACCCAACCACTATGCGTATGACATCTTTCACACCTTCCATTTGGGAGTCGCCAAGAACTTTCTTGGCGCGGTTCTCGCTCGCTTATCAGACTTTGAGAGCGGAAATGTGGAGCAGCGCTTTGAGGCGTTGACTGTAAAGTATCGTACTTGGTGCCGTGCGACAGGAAACGCGCCAATAGTTTCGAAATTGACAAAGGATCTTATACAGTGGGAGACAACGAGCGACTACCCCAACGGTTCTTGGTATAAGGGGGGCCTCAGCACGAACCTTATGCTCTTTTTTGAGTCGTTGGATGGCACATTGTCGGATCCATTACTTCTTTTGGCAATGGACGGCGCCAAGGCGATAAACCTTTTCTTTCGGACTCTCTATGCTGAAGGCTTTTGGCTGTCACCTGCAGTGGCGAGTTTTACGGGGCAGCTAGCAAGCAAGTTTTTGAGAAGGTACGAGGAATGTGCAAGATTGGCGCACAGCGAGCAAGCCACGCTGTTCGTTCTGCAACCTAAGTTGCGCCCGCTTCACCATTTCGCAGTTGATTTGCTGCGGGCTGTGCAGGCTGGGCACGAAGCTATCAACCCTCTGGGGTTTTCGACACAAATGTCGGAAGACCTGGTTGGCAGGCCTTCTCGCCTGGGCCGGCGAGTGGCGACACCTTTAGTTTGCCAACGTGTCTTGGAAAGGTACTTGCAGTCGTCATATGGCGAGTGGGTCAAGGCTGGTCTCCTGATCGAATCGAAGGGCTCTGCGTGAAAAGGTCACCGAGCACTTTGAGCATCAGATTTGTTTCGGCAGGTTCGAGAAGGTATGAGCATCAGATTTGTTTCGGCAGGTTCGAGAAGGTCGGAACATCATGTCATCAGCTGTTTATAGAGACCCCATAGCATGACTCTTGGGATGAATAAAGCCCCTCAAAATCTCGAAAACCCTAAACCCCGGGTTTAGATTCCAGACCCCGTGTTTAGACACCACGCTCGTTTTTTTTCAGGTTTTAGGTTCTTCAGGTAGGGTTTAGGGTTTAGGGTTTAGGGTTTAGGGTTTAGGGTTTAGGGTTTAGGGTTTAGGGTTTAGGGTTTAGGGTTTAGGGTTTAGGGTTTAGGGTTTAGGGTTTAGGGGCCCTCAAGCTACACCCTAAAGGTCCCGAGAGCCCTAAGCCGTAAACCCCTAACCCCCTTAACAGCCACGCCCCCGAAACTCCAAACCTTAATGAACCCTAAGACCCTAAACCCTAAACCTTGCACCCTGAACCTATTCTTAACACCCTACACCCGGACAGACTCTCATCCTGTGAAGCCCGAGTGGAAGCCCGGGCTCCCCCAACCTGTAAACCCCATGAATGGGATTGTAGGCTTGCGTTAGGGATTTTTTATGGGGTTGAGGATGGTTTAGGGTTTATAGGTTCGGGGAATCTTGAGGATGTGGAGGACATCCATTGAGCTTTCCTGTGTCTGGCTTCTTCTGGTTCGGGCTGAAGGCCTGGGTTTTCATATGTGGGTTGCGGGACTCTCGTGTGTTCAAGGGTTTAGACTTTAAGGGTTATGGTTTAAAGGCGTCTAGGATTTAAACCTGAACCCCTGAAACTCTGAACCCCTGACTACGGTTAGCAGTTACTACCCCTTAATTAGTAGGCATAACCCATAACAACTGTAGGTGAAGAGAGGCATATGAGCCCTCCAAACCCCAGGCCCCGGACACTAGTTCCCAAAAAAACACAAACGCCCTTCGCGCGAAGCCCTGCAACCCTAGTCTAGTAGTAGAGTACGTAACCTTTAACCTTTTTGGGGTAGTAAAAACCCCTTATAATCCCAAAGGTTAACCTTTAATTCCCCCAGGTTACTGGACAACTAAGCCAGACTAAAACGCCCCTAAAAAGCCCTAACTGGGCTTTGGAGTACTATACTTTAATACTTTTTTTGGTTTTGGGTTCCCATTATAGCTACTTATACCTAAAAAGTATATACTTTTTTTTCTGGGTCTACTCCAGAGGTAGGCTAAAATCCCCCGGGGATGCCCTGGACAAAACCCAAAACCCTCAAAAGCCTCAACCACTGAAATCTGAACACTAACCCCCAACCCGAAAACCCTAAACCCTAAACCGTAACCCGAAACAACTATAAATTTTTCCCGGGTATGAACCCTAGAAAGCCGAAACACTAAGAAGCTAAACCCCACACCCTGAAGACCCTAAAAAACCCTCAAGCCCCAGAAACCCAAATTCTATCCAGGTGTGTAGCCCTACACCCTAAACCCTAAATCCTAAACCCTAAACCCTAAACCCGAAGCTTTCCCCAGGTATGAAGCCCCTGGGCAGCTGGATGCCGGACCTCGCCGAGCGCATCGAGCAGCTTAACTCCTGGGGCTTCACAGGCCTTAGGGGGGGAGGGGGTTTAGGGTTTAGGGTTTAGGGTTTAGGGTTTAGGGTTTAGGGTTTAGGGTTTAGGGTTTAGGGTTTAGGGTTTAGGGTTACAGGCCTTACGGGGGGGGGGGGGGGGTTCGCATTTTAGGGAGAGGGTTTAGGGCTTAGGGTTTAGGTTTAGGGCGGGGTGCTGTCTACAACTAACATTGACCAATCAACCGAAAACAACGGTTTCCGGGCCAGCTCGCATCAAAAGCCCTCCCATTGGAACTGGAAATTTCCCCCACCCACCTCCTGAGCCTAAGCCCTCAACCCTAAACCCTAAACCGCCTCAACCCTAAACCCTAAACCGCCTAAACCCTAAAGCCAAAACCCCCTCCCTCCTGTGACTGCCAGCCTCCGCGAGGTGTGCCGAAGGTCTTGTGGCTCGACTGCCTTCGACATTCATGACTTTGTGGTGCTTTACTGTAACTTTAGATCCTTAGCTTTTTTGGGTTTATTGGGCTTCTTAATGAGGCAGCTAAAAGTTTAATGTTTTACTACCCTCCTAAGTGCAGCCAAGATGAGATCGGACATTCATCCCATCAAGGGACTACCGGAGGGACCCTTATAAGGTACCTTGGGGTTCTTTGGGGGCTGCTTAGGTAAACAGGGACTCTTTACAAGGTGTATATAAATATAAATAAATATATATATATATATATAAGGGTTATATCGGGGAATAAGGTTGAGGGTCCCTTCTAGGGGTCCCTCCTTTTACCCCCCCCCCCCCCCCCCCGGAATCCCAAAGCCCTGACCCACCCCCACACTCGAAATCCGAAACCCCGATCCCGAAAACCCAAAAACAGCAAGACCCGAGCCTTAATGCCCGGAACCTCGGACCTCACTTCCAAGTTTGCCACTTGATCCCTAAACCCTAAACCCCTCAGGCCGAAGCCCCAAGCCCTAAGCCCGAAACCCATCCAACATCCGGGCTTGACCTGGAATGTTTGTTGGAGTTCCACGGGCTTTCATTCTCATAGAAATACAACTTCTGGCTAGCCCAGCGGTACCCTTTTGCCATCCTGTTGGTTGTAGGTGCCCCTGTGATGTAACCAGCACTCTAAACCCTAAACCCTAAACCCTGAACTTAAAGCCCTAAAGGGGTACACAATATGATTCCTGGACTTCCAAGACTTTTGCAAAATCCCAAATCCACAATTATATTCCTCAACCTGAAGGTTAGTTGGGCGGCCCAACTGGGGGGGCCAGGGCCCTTAAACCCTAACGGGTAAGCCCCTGAACCCTAAACCATAAACCCTTAAACAGGTGGCTGGGCGGACTGACGTACCCCACAAGCCTTCTGACCGCCATCCTGCAAGCGTGCCCCAAGCAGCATCTACTTACCTTTCTTCGGTAGGATTCCGGATGGTGGGGCTTAGGGTTGAGGGTTCAGGGTTTGGGGTTTGGGGTTTGGGGTTTAGGGTTTAGGGTTCAGGGTTCAGGGTTTGGGGTGTGGTTAGGGGAAGGAGGCTCCCCTAAACCCTCAATCCTTCTGCCTTAACCTGGCCAAGCTGGCACCTGCTCCTTATACACCTGAGCCCGAGGCACGATGCTGAAGGCTTGAAGAGCATTTCCACAGTATTCACACATACATACAAGGAGGGACCCTTACTTATACTAATTAGTTGTTTTGGGACTTATGACCTAGGTTAGGATCCCTTATAACCCAGTTTAGGCTTGTGTAGGAACACAAAAAGGGAGGGCTGGTCATGAATTACCTTCGATGCCCATCAACGCGGGCATTGGGCTATCTTCGGCCCGTACTGTTGACTGATTTATACCCCCCTTGTCAGAAGAGCACGACTGGCGGAACTCAGTCAGAACACCCGTCCTCAATCTACAAAAACCAAAAAAAAGTTGCAGGTGCATGGGAGGTGAAGGTTTGGGTTTAGCAGGGTTTGGGGTTATTGAGGGTTTCGTTTGCTTTCTGGAAGAGGCATCCCTTTTGAAAACCGCGCCCCCCCCCCCCCCCCCCCCAACACGGCACAAGACGACAGCCCGTGTAAAACACCCGCTGCAATTATAAGTTCCGACCCCCCGTCCCCTTCTAGAGAGCTTGAATCAATGCAGGGGTGTTCTGAATGGGAAGTCAGCAGTAAATTTCACTAAGCCCTGAACACCCCAAACTCCAATCCCTAACCCTAAATCAAACCCTAACCAACAAGAAACAAACTACAACCCTGCACACCCCAGAACCCTAAAACTCCTATAAGTCCTTACAGAAATGTCTATTAGAGTAGCCCTAATCCGTAAACCCTACAGACCTAAACACATAAAAGCCCGAAGCCCTAAACCTTTAACCCATACAAGGATGGGCTATAACTTACAACCTAAATTAGGGTCCTCATAATTCTACCTCTACCCAGGAGGAGGGGAGAGAGGGGGGCACTCCTTGTAGAACCCTGAATCCCTAAGCCCTAAGCCCTAAACCCTAAACCCTAAACTAAAGCCCACTTCTAGCATTGGGGTTGGGGGGGGGGAGGTACAGTGGGCCCTCCTTGTAACCGTGATGGGACTTTTGGAATCTTTATCTAGGATGCCCAGTAGTACCCTTATTCCCTTTTTGGTGGGTTTAGGTTCCCTTATAAACTCCTTTAAGCAAAAAAGGGCACCCTTTTTAAGTCTAGGTTACTGGGCAGCCTAGTTATCTTTGGACCAGGTCTTCGCGGAAGAACCCGGGCGTCTGATCCTCAGACTGTGCAGGGGTGGGGGAGGGGGCAAGGTTTAGGGTTTTAGAGTTTAGGGTTTAGGGTTGAAGATTTAGGGCTTAAAGTTTAGGGCTTGGGGTTTAGGGTTGAGGGTGTTTAGGGCTATTTTTGGTTTCTTGGCTAGTGCTTTGGGCCCTAAACGGACACGTGTTTCCCCCCAAGCTTTTTTCAACCCCCCGCTGCCTAACATTTTCTGTGTGCGGCCCTCCTGAGACGCCCTGGCTGAACCCTGCTGGGACCCTCCTGGAACCTCTGACACCCCCTGCTACGACAACCCAGAACCTTGAAATTCCTTCTATGACCTATGTATCCGTTGTCCATTCACCTTCTCAAGCCTGGCTGTAAAGCTGCTCGGACGCCAAGCATCCAGGCCGGCGCCAGACCGCAATGACCCATAGCCTCAGCTGCAAAGCTGATTTTGTCCCAGAAAGCCCTATGCCGCGGCAGTGCTCGCCCAGCTTCGACCAAGCGCTGGAGACGAGCGTCAAGGCTTCCACTCAAAATCAGGGCTCCGAGAAGGTCCACAATGAGCACACCAGCCCAACTACGGAACCAACAGGTCCAGAGCTCACTCACGGAAAGCCAGTACGCAGAGGCAAGCGACGTGATGCATCAACATCGGAGGCGAAGCAGAGGAAAGGGGTAGTCGCTGAGAAGGCGGAGCGCTCTCCTCTGAGTCCAGGCCTTGTCACACGTGCCAGCCGCAAGCAAGAGAATAAGAAGCTCATGGAGCGCTACGAGGACTTGGGAAAACCCAAAGGATCCATGTACCTATATAGTATATACTTGGGCCTTAAAGCTACTATATAGGAACCCCTTTAAGGCCCAAGTATATACTATATAGGTACATGGATCCTTTGGGAAAGAACTCAGGGTTCCGGGCTTGCGGTTTTAGGGTTTAGTTGAGGTTAGAGCATCATGGGCCCTCGGGGGTCCATGTACTTTATTATATATGTACTTGGGCCCCTAAAGTCCCTAAATAGGAGGTACTTGAAGGCCCAAGTCTTCCCTATTTAGGCACATGGACCCTTAGGGGGTGGGGGGGGGGATGAAGGACACCATGTTGATGGACATGCACAAGGTCGAGAAGGTTACCGCAGCGTCCCAGAGGGTCGCAATGAGCATGGCCAGCGGGGAATCCAAGCCGACCACGCCCAAGTGGTCGGGACGTGTCATGTGTATTCGCATGACGCCGCAGCACTTCAGCCCCTTGGGAACCATCTTCCGCGATGTGCGCGTGAGCTTCTTGCCCAGGAACTTCGTCATCCAAGCTGTTGACTGCGAAGGCTATGTATGGACAGCTCGTTCGTCCATGCTGCCGGGGTACCTGGCTGTGGATCGCTGCAAGTACAAGATCAATCCGCTTGGCAAGGATGTGCTCATCACCCTTTGCGCCGCGGACAAGGATCAGTCTTGGAAGGGCCTGGGACGTCTTCAGCTGTTCCGACCATACGAGATTGAGGAGCTTGAGCAAGTATGTGGCAACAAGAGCAACTTCATCTAGCGCTTAGCATGCTTTCAACACTTCTGAGAGTGCTACCCCGGTACTGCAGTCATGCAAGCCCCAAACTCTGACCTGACATGCTTTACACATGTCTACCGACTTAACATACTTGGACCATGTTTGCCCTTTGCTTACCTCGTCTGTCCCTGAGATCAGCCAGAGTTGAGGCGCAACAGTGTTCCAAAGGAAGGAGGCAGCCACAGATTCGAGATTCCGCGCACTTACTTTGTAGGCACTCTGTACGGAGATGTTGCATGAGATGCTTCTGGCTTCTGTCTGCTTCAGGTTAGAGTGCCTGCATTGGCTGTTTTTTGGATACGTGGCCTGTGTACTTATGAGTGTATATACCGGGTGACTTCGTAACCCTAAACCCTAAACCCTAAACCCTAAACCCTAAACCCTAAACCCTAAACCCTAAACCCTAAACCCTAAACCCTAAGCCGTTGGGAAAATCCGAGAAACAGCCAGTCTCAGCTGCAGCCACTCAACTGACGTTTCCGTTCCATCCTGAATGGAATGCTGCGACCGCTGTGCTACGCGTCTTCAGTGAATTCGGCTTTCGCAGGCTCCAGAATCTGTTGTCGCTACTTGTTGCGAATTGGGGGTGTGCGCAACGCGCCACCTGCTAACTTCAATGCGATCGACAAACGTGCACGAATGAGACGCATGCTGCTGAGAGGTTCTGGGCCACAGTTCTGATCGCTGCTATCTGCCAGGTTGCCCGCACTAGGGTTTAGGGCTTAGGGTTTAGGCATTTTTCCTGGTCTCTTGTTACTCTAAGATGCTTCACCCAGTGCCAGGCCAGCGCATTCGTGTGAAATCAAGAGGCTGCCGAAGCAGCCTCAGATAGCGAGTGGGCATGGTGTGCACCGATATTTGAAACCTACAACAGATGCAACAAACCCTGCACACCATGCAGACTAAGCTTAGACTTGGATGACACACTTTCGGGAGAGCATGCGCAGAATGTCGAGGAGGGCTGTCAGGTTTGTCTTAAATTTGCCATCAGCAGCGGACATGCTGATAGTGGACCCCTGAAAGGGCGGTGAGGTCATTGAGACACGCGGTGCTCTCTTGAGCTCAGTTTGCAAGGCCAAGACCTCTATTGAGCGTCCATAACCCCACTTGAAATCCCTAAATCGTAATCACTAGGATGCCCAGTAGTACCCTTATTCCCTTTTTGGTGGGTTTAGGTTCCCTTATAAACCCCTTTAAGCAAAAAAAGGGCACCCTTTTTAAGCCTTGGTTACTGGGCAGCCTAGATCATGATATTCTACCAACTAGCCAGAAACAAAGGTGGGCAGGGTGCCAAAGAGATGTCGGCCCTGTGACATGTTGCTACCTTTCTACCACGCCTTTGAAGATCTTGGAAAACGGTCACTTTGCTGCGCTTGCTGTTTTTGGGAAGCATGTAGTTCAGGGTTTAGGGTTTAGGGTTTAGGGTTTAGGGTTTATGGGGATGTTTTTGGGAGTAGGACGTGGGAACTCCGCTAAGTCCCTGTTGTTGTAGCTCCCCAAACCCTAAAGAACCTGAGCCCCATTACCTGTTAATAGGGTTTAGGGTTTAGGGTTTAGGGTCATAGAGTTCTTATGGGATGGGGCCTCCTTTGTGGTGCTTTACTGTAGCTTTAGATCCTTAGCTTTTTTGGGTTTATTGGGCTTCTTAATGAGGCAGCTAAAAGTTTAATTTTTACTACCCTCCTAAGTGCAGCCAAGGTTCATGGGGGGTAGGTACCTAGGGAAGCTTGGGGGAACCTTAGGGAGCCTTCGGGAGTAGTGGGAGAAAGGGAGCCTTGGGTGACAGACCTTCCTTGAACCCAAACCCCAAACCCTAAACCCCAAACCCCAAACCCCTGAACCCTAAACCCTAAACCCTAATCCCTGAACCCTAAACCCTAATCCCTGAACCCTGAACCCTAAACCCTAAACCCTAAACCCTAAACCCTAAACCCGAAACCCTAAACCCGAAACCCGAAACCCTAAACCCTAAACCCTAAACCCTAAACCCTAAACCCTAAACCCTAAACCCTAAACCCTAAACCCTAAACCCTAAACCCTAAACCCTAAACCCTACCTTCCCTTAAGAACACTACAATGTTGGGAAACCCCCCAAGATGGAAAGTTCCTTCGGCTCTTTTGGGGGGGCTTTACTGCCCTGAAAAGAAACTGCTCACCGGAACCCCGGTTTAGGGTTTAGGGTTTAGGGTTTAGGGTTTAGGGTTTAGGGTTTAGGGTTTAGGGTTTAGGGTTTAGGGTTAGAGAACTGCCGAAGGGAAGTCCAAGCCCTGAGCCCAGACCCTGACCCCCAAACCCTAAACAAACAAACCCAAACCCCAAACCCTAGACCCCAGACCCTAAACCAAAAAACACCCGAACCACCCGAACCACCCGAAACCCGGGACCCCAAACAGCAAACCGCTGAACCCGCAACCCCTAAGCCCTAAGCCCTAAATCCTAGACCCTAAAATCCAAACCCCAAACCCCAAACCCTAAACCCTAAACCCTAAACCCTAAACCCTAAACCCTAAACCCTTAACCTGGGGACTTGCAGGTGTCTGTGGATGCCTTGTCCTTCGACTTCGTAGTTCAGACCCAGGAGGGATTAGGGCTTAGGGTTTAGGGTTTAGGGTTTAGGGTTTAGGGTTTAGGGTTTAGGGTTGTGGGTTGTGGGTTGTGGGTTGTGGGTTGTGGGTTGTGGGTTGTGGGTTGTGGGTTGTGGGTTGTGGGTTGGGGCTAAGGATGAATCAGGATGAAGGGTTTCGGGCTTTTGTAGGGCTAAGGGTTTTGTAGGGTTGAATCGCTTGCGGCAACTGGCCCAGGTCTGGAACCCCGAGAAAGAGCAAAGAACAGTTCTCGACCCTTTCCGGCTTCTGGGTTCAGGGTTTAGGGCTAGGGTTTAGGGTTAGGGTCTAGGGCTTAGGGTTTTTATGTAGGACTTGCGGCTTCTTCCGGTTTGTGGGGTCTAGGTTGGGTTGAGCTATCACGGCTTAGGCCAGGGAATCATGGTGTAGGGATCTTAGACGAGTTCATAGGGATGATTCAAAACCCCTGACACCACAAAAACCTAAACCCCACACCCTAAACCCTAAATTACCGTTAAACCTAAACTCCAAACTCTAAAGCCCTAAATCCTAACTCCCCCCCCGCTTCCCCGCCAGGATGAATCGCAGATCAACGCGCTGCCCAAGGAAGGTGCTTACATTAAGAGCAGCCTGCCAAGGTTTAGGGTTTAGGGTTAGGGTTTAGGGTTCGGTGCGCCGGGCTTAGGGGTTAGGATGTGGGGTGCAGGGTTTCGGGGCTTAGGGTTTAGAGATCGCAGGGTGAAATCGCGAGAGGCCGAAGGGGGAAGCGATTCTGCCAAGGGACTACCCTTCGGTTTTTGGGGACTCATTGGGGACCCTTTTTCAAGATTCCCCTTTTAGGTAAGCTAAGGCCCATCTTAGGAGTAGATTCAGGGAAGCCTTTCCAAGCAGGGCCCCCCCTCTACTATACTAACCATAGTTAAGGGACTTCTCACCTAAGTCAGGATCCTTGTAACCCAACTTAGGGTCCTTGTAACTCTATGGGCCCCCGAATTGGTCCTTATTTTCCTTGTTTTAGGGCTTAGGTTCCCTTACAAGCTCCCTTTCTACCAGAAAGGGCACCCTTTTTGCTCTCAGGTCGAGTCTAGTCCACTTATGCGGGGGGAGATAGGTGCAATTCTTGAGATCACACTATGCCCTCTAAAGCCTAAACCCGTTTCTGGAGGTGAACTGGGTTGGGGTGGAATAATTTGGGCTTCCTTTTTGCGTAATTATTGCTGCGGGGGTGTCGTGGAAGACTCGAAGCCTGAAGCCCACACAAGCCCAACGGCTCAACAACTTCAGCGAACAAAAACCAAGGTCCTCGCATAGCATGGTCTCTGGCCCAAACATTCCCAGAAACACGAACAGAGTCTTGTACTGGAGAGGATTTTGTCAGGGTAAAGCCCTAAACCCGAAACCCTAAGCCGTAAACCCTGAACCTTCACCGTACTTGCAAAGCCGCTTGCGTGGTAGCCCAGGCATGATCCTGGAAGGACCCGACGTTTTCATCTTTTAGGGTTCAGGGTGCACGGTTTAGGGTGTTGTATTAAGAGTGTACCGTTTAGGGTTAGGGGTTCTGGATATGGGCTCCCAGAGACTTTCCTCCATTATGGCCTTCCTACGTTTTCAGGGTTTAGGCTTTCGGGCTTAGGGTTTAAGATGCCTTCAACTCTGTAGGGAGAGGTTCTGGTAGGGCAGTTTGGGGGGGGGCAGGGGGGAGGGGGGGGGGGAGGGGAGGGGGGGGAGGGGAGGGGGGGGAGGGGAGGGGGGGGAGGGGAGGGGGGAGGGGGGGGAGGGGAGGGGGGGGAGGGGAGGGGGGGGAGGGGAGGGGGGGAGACCCCGAAACCCACGTCGAGCAAGATCAGGGTTTGGGGTGGTGTCGGGTTTAGGGGTTAGGGAGGGGGAGTTACCATAACGGGGTTGTACAGTAGACAAGATGATTTCCTTAAGGTCGCGTAGTTTGGGTTCCTACAGTAACTAGAAACAAGAGCCCAGTTCCATGTGAATTTGAGCCGTGTCGTTCGTTTGTTCCGGGTTTAGGATTTAGGGTTTGGGGCTCAGGGTTTAGGCGAAAGGGCTTTCAGGGCTATTTTGGGTTGAGGGTTAAGGCCCAAGGGGTTTTAGGGGTATCGAAGAGCCTTGGCTGTTCGTGACTCAAAGGCATACGCCACGAAGGCTGTGGCACGCCAAGGTTATTTGGGTCTAGGGTTTATGGGGCTTAGGGTTTACAGGCCCGCCAAAACTTAGTCCAAACACCACTGCAGGAGCCAAGTGGGATAACAATGGTGGTTGCCTGGCCGACGCAGACACCATGGCCTTGTTCAATCCGATGCCGATCGCACGGCGCTGAGGGACTCAGGGGCAACAGTGGGCTTCGGGGCATTCGGCGCGGGCTTTAGGTTGGGGTTCAGGGTTTATTGTAACGAGCCAAGAACG